AACCCTTCTGTACTCTCTATACCATCCTACAATCAAGTTCCCCTTCAAGATCTATGATTGGGTCAGGAGAACATTACACTCCCCTCACATTGCCATATATAACGTGAACCAGTTATATAAAAGGAAAATTTTTGCTGTTCTGACAGTAATGAGATAGTCAATGTTTCAACTCCACTTGTCTGGTGGCTTTTAAATTTCATGGATTTGGTCCCATGACATATTGTAGGCTCAAAGTCATATCTATCTGTTCAGCTTGGGTGATTTCTTCTAGTCTTTAGTCCAGCTTCCTGATCCGTTCTTCTGTATCATCTACTTTGCTATTGAATCCCTCTAGTGAATTTTTCATTTCCAAGATTGTATTCTTCATTTCTAATTGTTATTTTTTATATTTTCCAATTCTTTGTTGAAATTCTCACTGATTTCATCCATCTTCTCCCAAGATCGGTGAGCATCCTTATGACATTTTGTTTGAACTCTTTGTCAGTTAGATTGTTTATTTCTGTTTCATTTAGTTATTTTTCTGTGGTTTTGTCCTGTTCCCTTACTTTGAATGTATTCCTTTGCCTCCTCATTATGCCTCTTTCTCTGTGCTTATATCTATATATTAAGTAGGTCAGCTACATCTCCCGATCTTGCAGAGGTGGCCTTATGTAAGAGATGCCTTATGTGGCCCAGCAGTATGATTTCCTCTCATCATCAGTTCCAAATGTTCCAGGAGTGACCCCTGTGTGGGTTATGTGTGTCCTTTGGTTGTGGCAGGGTTGCTCTTACTGTAGGTGCTCAGGAAGGCTAGGCTGTCCCCCTGGCTGGCTGGTTGTAATGCTCAGCTGTGTGTGGCTGCTATGGACCTTTCAGTGACTTTATCAGGCATGGGGAGCCCCAGCACAGTTGGCTGCAAGGTTTAATAGCACATTCCTGTTGCAGTTTTTCTCTTAAGTGAGTAGGCATCCAGCATGACTGGTTGCTAGGCTCAGGGGTTTACAATTGCTGTAGGCCTCCAGCCTACAAGGCTTTTGTCAGCTCTATCAGGATTGCAGCTGAGTGGGGCCGGCCTCAGGCACGGGAGCGCCCAGTTGTTTCAGGCTTTGGAAGGTGGGGCCAATCCCCTATGTGGCTGTTTGAGAAACACAAGTCTACTGCAGCTGACAAGCCTCACTGTCCCCAGGGCCACACACCCCGTCAACACAGTCCTGCCCCATGCACACACCCTGACCCCCTGAAGCAGACCCAGTCACCCCACTGGAGAGGCCCCACACACTCCACCAAAGCCCCACACACTCCACCCACTCCTCATGAATCCCCTGCCCTGCAGAGGCAGACCCACTTGCCCAGCTGCAGAGGACCCAGGCACCCCACCTCTGCAGGCCCATAAGTTGCCCAGGGGCTTGCTGTTGGGTGGGCCAGTCCCTAGGGTGGGCTGCCTGCCCTGGTGCTCTAGTGGGTGGGGCAGACCCCTGGCTAACAGGCCAGGGGAAGAACTCCAATGGCATCTGCCAGTGTCTGTCAGCACACCTGTACTAGGTCACAGTAATGGCTGCTACCAATGTCTCAGTCCCTGGGGAGGTCTCACCTCTCACTGAGATGCACCCAGAGCCTATGAAATGAGTCTCTTTCCACCAAAGGACTTTCTTTCACTGTTCTTTCTGGTGATTTTAGGTTGCTTTCCAAAATGGGTGAATTTGTGTGTGGGCCCTTTAAGAGCAGGCTTTTTTTCCCCTTATGTCCAATAGCATTTCTGAGGATATTCCCTGTTGTAGTTAACAGCCAGCAAAGCCAGATATTATGACACTCATCGCAGTTGTGCTGAGTCTAAAAGATACTTACAGCAGTAACGCTCCCCTGCTCAGGTCCCCAACTCCTCCAGAGAAGGCTGTGTACTTTAGGATTGCTCCTGGCCAGCCATGAAGCACTGCAGCTTGTGAAGGTGGCTTTTTTTTCTCTCTAGAAAGGAATTTCTGCCTCTCCCACCTCACTCAGGACTGTCCCTTATTGCAGGGGTTCTTTTTATCCAGCTTTCAGTTCTCTCTCAGGGGTAATTGTTCCAAGAGTAGTTGTAAATTTGTTGTGTCTGTGGAAGGAGGTGAGTTCAGAGTCTGCCTACACTGCCATCTTGACACCTCTCCTCAAAGTCAAATTTACGTTGGGCCAGTTCTTTCTTATATTCAGCAGATTATAGAAATCACAGCCACAAATAGAAGATGTCATAGAGGAATAGAAATTTCAATAAAACAGAAAAAAATTTAATAAAGATAAAAAGAGGTAGAGCAGGACTTTTGGAATAGCATATTGAGGCCCTCCATAAATCCACTCCTGCATAAAAGCAATGGCAAAAATTATTTAAATCAAATTTTCAAGAACTTTGGAAATTAATCAATCTGAGGAACATTTATTCAACAAAAACTATAAATGTTGGTAAGAACAGAAGGGTTCGTGCATTGTAACTTGATCTACTTCCATTTCTTTCTCTACAATATCCTTAAAAACCAGAAAACTTGTAACCATGGTAGCCAAGAAAACCAGCAGGAAGGCAGTCTACATCCAGACACAACACAGTCAAATTACTGAAATCCAAAAGCAAGGAGAGAATCTTGAAAGTAGCAAAGGAAAACAGCTCATCACATACAAGGGATCCTCAATAAAATTAACAGCTGACTTCTCATCAGAAATCATGAAGGCGAGAAAGCAGTAGGATGACATCTTCAAAGAGCTAAAAAAAAAATTGTCAACCAGGAATTATATATGCAAATTAAGACATTCCCAGATAAAGAAAAACTGAGAGAATTCATCACTAGCAGAACTGACCTACAAGAAATACTAAAGGGAATCCTTCAGGCTGAATTGAAAGGACACCACAAGTAATTCCAAGCCATGCCATTAAGAAAGTTGAAAGACAACCTACAAAATGGGAGAAAACATTTATAAGTCACACGTATGATAAGAGACTCACATTCAGAATATATAAAGAACTCTTAAACTCATTACTAAAAAGATAAATAATCCAATTAAAAATGAGCAAAGAATTTGAATAGACATTTCTCCAGTGAAGATATACAAATACCCAACAAGCACATGAAAAGATGCTCAACATAATTAGTCATCAGAGAAATGCATATCAAAACCACAATGAGACATCACTTCACACCCACTAGGATGGCTAGAATCAAAAAACAGAGAATAACAAATTTCTGTAAAAAGGTAGAGAAATAGGAACCCTCATACATTGCTGGTGAGAATGTAAAAATGGTTTAGCCACTTTGGAAAACAATTTGGCAGTTCTTCAAAATGTTTAAACATAGAGTTACCATATGATACAGTAATTCTACTGCTAAGTATACACCCAAGAGAAATGATAATATATGTCCACACAAAAACTTGTACATGGATGTTCACAGCAGCACTATTCATAATAATTATTCATATTCATAGCTAAAAACTAGAAATAATCCAAATGTCTATCAACTGATGAATGGATAATAAAATGTGATATATCCATACAATGGAATATTGTTTAGCCATAAAAATGAAATACTGATACACGCTACACCATGGATTAACCTTAAAACATTATGCTAAGTTAAAAAAAGCCATACACAAGACTCCATGTTGTATGATTACACTTATAAGAAATATTCAGAACAGGCGAATCTTTGGAGATAGAAAGTAAATTACTGGTTTCCTAAGGCTGGAGAACAGAGGGCAGGCGAGTTACTACTAATGGGTATGGGCTTTCTTTTTGGGGTGATGAAAACCTAAAATTAGAGTGTGGCGATGGTTGTACAATTCTGTGAGTATACTAAACACCATGAATTGTACACTTGAAATGGGTGAATGTCACAGTATGTGAGTTATATTTCAATAAAGCTCTTTTAACAAAAAGGTAAGAAGTGAAGATAACTTTCATAGATCTACTGTCACATACTATAACTTGCAAAGAGGTACTGAGAAATCTTAATTAAAGGATATTAAACACAATGTATGGCAGAAACAGATACCATGATTTGGGGCATGTAGTAATTTTCTACTACATTAAATTTAATTTAATAACAATTAAAATTTACCAGTTGCTTACTATGTCCTGCCAAGCACTGTGCTATAAATTAGAAACATTTCAAAGTACTTTGTCAGAATGGATCATGAGTAATCTCATTTCTCAGAATTTGTCATAAGGAAATAAGATAGCTTTGGTTAGAAAAAAGAGGAAACTAAGGTCAGAAATATGTTCATTCCAGCATTATTTATAATAGCAAAAACTTAGAAGCTATTTAAGTGTCCAACGATAGCAAAGTGCTTCATTTACCTATGGTATATGAAATGGCGAATTTCATATACTCATTATTTAATCAACAAAAATTATAATTAGGAAGACTATGTAGCTCCTTACATAAATAAGGAGCTACAAAATTGTTTATGTACTACAATATTAATAGCAAACATTTATTGAGCATTTTGGGCACTTCACTAAACACTTTATATGGATTAATTCATTTAATCCTCACGATAACCCTTTGAGGTAAAGGTTATTGAGCACAGAACACTTAAGTAACTTCTCCAGGGTACCATGCTAGTAGGTGGCAAAGTCAGCATTTGAATCTTGGCCATCTGACTCCTCAGACCATGTCTTAGCCATGAGGCCACACCACCTTTCCATCATAGCATCATACTCCACGGATACGGACAAGGACTAGAAAAGATAGTCATATACGGAAATATTTGATTTGATGTCAGCATTAGGAGTAAATTCTTCCACTTTAATTTTAAACTTTCTTAAGTTCATACACTTTATTGCCTTTATACAAATAAAAAGTAAGGAAGAAACAAAAATCTTATATTCCTGTTATTACTCCTATTTCCCAAACTCCTTGGGATAAAAGATATCATGTTTATCAGGAAAATGCAATACAAATGCAATTTGCATTTATATATATACATATATATACATATATATAGGCAAGATATATGGTAATTATCTTAGCAAGAAAGTTATAGCATATCAATTTTACCTTGAATATATCTGCGCTGTTGGGGTTAAACAGCTGGTGTTTCCCAGATCCCAAAATAATAGGGCCTGAACATCTTGTTTCTCCATAGACATAAAGGGATACTGTTGCCGTGGTGCCAGCGTTTTCAAGGTCCCCAGTGACAACAGTCACTTTCCAATCTCCTTCTGCATAGGAAAAAGGAAATCAATAAGAAATTGTGGAGGAAAACCATATTAATATTAGGAAATGAGGAATTCTAGTTAATCTACTTAGTTATAAAATGAATAATTTGTGAAATTAAGAAGTATTAAAATAATTGCTTATCATAGACTCTTTTTGGAAGCTAGCATTTGGAAAAGTTTTGGAAATATTATAGCATTTTAATTAGAAAGCAAATAAGCAACGGGCTTTTCAGGACAGGAGATATTTAGGGCAAAAACACTCAGTTGGAGGCATTTAGTACTAGGTGTGTGGCTGGAAGATTTCGAGTCCATTTAGGCATAAAACTGTCAAAACTTTTGGTGGAAATGGATTGACAGATAAACTGATAACCTGACGTTGGCATTATCTATACTAGGGGACGCCCTGTCAAGCTGGGGCTGGTAACACAGTTTGGTGATCCTAGCAGAATCATGGTGAAGATACAGAAGAACTAAAAACAAAGAAAAAAGAGCTAAATATTTTTTCAGGAAAATTGCTGGAGTCTCCTAAGGGTTGGAAAGAAACAACAAGTAAGGAGTAAAATATTGTATGTAGGCCCTAGCAAAGAGAGTTGTGTTTGGCAGAGGGAAGATGAAGAAAAGATACATTTGAAATAGAGAAAGACACAGTGTCCTGTAAGCAGAATGGATCATTGAGCTTCTTGCCACAGTGATGCTGGGAGCACAGGAAAAGTCGAGACAGGCAGAGCATGACAAAAAACATCTTTTAAAAAGACGTACAAGTTGTTCTATGATTGGGTTAGTTGGAAAGACAAATTGAGATAGATTTAATTATTTTGTGCACTTTGGAAAGCTACACCGTCAACCCCGCTGCAGTAAAACCCTCTCACACTGAACCCACACCACGCAGTCAAGCGCAGCAGAGGATCAAGTCCTGCCTGCTAGAACTCTATGTAGGGCATGCATCTCCATTCATCACAGGCTATCTCCGGATTGTAGGGGCAATTTAAAGATGTCTTTATTGTCATTTTCAAAGTCTCCATAAACACACACTGCCTTGTGAGTAATTTTTACATTTTCAAAATGAGATTAAGATCTACCACCATTCTGGACATCTGGATTCTCAGTAACTCCTCCACTAAGACATTATTTTTCTTTTTAGTATGTAATGCTGCTCCTCCCCCCAATATATCCATAAAGATCATCTGACTATCTCTAATCGGCTTAAAAACTTGCATCAAGTAAACTTCGCATAATCTTACATTTGATGATAAAGATGGAACTTAAGCCTCGGTACCAAAATGCCAAAGGAGGGGCAGCACCCAAAGGGGTGCACTCTAGGTCTATCCTGTAGCAACTCTGCTTTGAGGAATTTCAGTTTATGTGGGAAAATAGGAAACATGCAAATTTCAAACAATAATCCCATTGAGAACCCTATCACGATATTAATCCTTACAGAAAGACTTCCATCTGTGCTTTGATGCACAATTCAAGAAGTTAAAGAATCTCTTTCCTTTTTTTAGATCTTCTTTCCTGTCTCATCCTTATCTCCTTCCCTTGTATCTGGGTCTGCCCTGGGATTTTCGTATCATGCTGTCATGGGGAGATGACAGGAATGAGTTTGCACATCAGCTTGGATATCTTGTTTACTGAAATAGAGACAAATAGCAATGAGCCATTGATTTTTATAATATAATACTCCTGTGTTCTTCCCTTTTGGAATCAGCATGTCACTACAAAACGAGCTTTAAAGGTGGAGTAACTAATGAAATGTTCTCTGTGGTGATTTTTGTTGATTTTTGAGTTATCTTGGGCATAATTCTCTTTTCTACCACTGGAAAAAAAGTAAGTATTTTCCGATATTTTCTATAGTATACTTTAAAAATACGATCATTTAACTTCTCTAAGAATGTCTGTATCTAAAATACAAAATAGGAAGATTTGTTGAAAATAACAAAGAGGAACATTCTGAGTCTATATTTAAATTAAAATTTCACTGTCCTGAGAAAGTTTATTTTTATCAGAGCTAATAATATGTTTATAGTTTTTGTATTGCTTATTACATCTGTCACAACTACAAGTTTTTTCTATAATATTCTATTGTGAAACTTTCTTCACCCCCCAAAATCAAAAGACTATGAGTTCAGATATTCTGTTTATACAAGTTTCTCTTTTTTTTCTTTCTTTATAGTTGCTGTCTTTTCAACTCCCATGAATCATACCAAAAAATACTGTCATCTGTTAACCCCTTTACAAAATCACTTCTATTAACTCAAAGCTCCCAAAGGAAGAAAGAGAATTCCATATAATTAAAGTCTAAATATTTATCTTATATTTATCAGTGTGTTGAAAAATTTAAAAAAAGATTTTGGACTATGCAATGATCTGTTGTTGATGACCTCCCTTAGACTATCCCATTTTATTCTCTTTTTATTGGCTCTCAAGCTTAAATTTAGGACGATTACTACAGCAGTGGCCTCCGTTTGAAGAAATTCTGCTATAGAAAAAAGAAAATTTTTCTTGGAGACTACATCCTACGAGGCTTATTTTTCTTTTGTGTTAGAAATGTTTTAAAAGTAGTCTAGATGTACTCTATGATCTCTAAATAGCCCAGAATAAATTTGGATTTCTTGTCAATAATGAAGGAAGGTTTAACAGGAACTTCTGCTTTAACAATGGAAAGTATATGCTCTGTTGCCATTCTTATGTAGCTACGTGCAATTAGTACAGATACAATTGAACTGGAAAATCCTGAACTTCAGGATATAACGCTATGCTAACAATTGGAATTCAATTAATATTTGTTGAGCAGCTGATTTACAGATATTAAGTGTCCATATTATGTACAAACGTTATGATAGACATTCAAGAGGCTAAGGGACCATGTGAGTCAAATTATTAAATCAGACTCAACAGAGTTTATAGACATTACCTAATACCAAGTTTACTAATGATTCACCAGCAAGCCACAGGCCTAGTGTCCTTCCTTCGGAGAGATCACAGACCAGGGGTTGGCAAATTATAGCCCACTGTCCAAATCCAGCCTGCTGCCTGTTTTTGTAATTAGAGTTTCACTGGGACACGGCCAGGCTCATCTGTTTATGAATGGTCCATGGGTGCTCTCGTGCTACAACAGCAGAGTTGAGTAGCTGCAACAGAGACCATATGCCCCACAAATCCTAAGATGCATATTATCTGGCCTTTTATCACAGAAGTTTGCTGACTCCTGCCCTAGATGACCAATATAACTCAAAAATGTCCTCTCCAGCCTTTATTAGAACAGGTGCTGCTTCAGATTTAACATGAGAGATTTAACAATGCATGCAGAACTATTAAACTCCACTGATTTCCCAGCTTATCTAACAATCTCCAGTTATGCCCCCACCAATCCATAAATACCAGGTTTATTTACAGTAGGCAACCAAGACGAACCAGGCATATCTTTCTATGTCAGATTTGTTATTTGAAGAAGGTCTCACTGATGTCTCCCAATCCACTTGCTCTTTTGCAGTGTGACTATTTTACTGCTGTGTTAAGAGATGGAGTGTATTTCCTCTCCCTTTGAATCTGGGCTGCCCTTGGCCAACACAATGCAGCCAAAGTGACATTCTGGGAGTTCAGAGTCTAAGTCGGCCTGGGTTTGTTAAAGCACTCTCTCAGGACTCTCCATCTCAGACCCCAGGAGTCGAGCTGTGAAAACCCAAGGCACATGGAGACACCCCAAATAGGCAGGTAGCCCCAGCTGAGCTCCTGGTCTCATCAGCTGGCAGCATGCTGAGCCACCTTGACGTTCAGCCAGTCACGTCTTCAGATGTCTGCACTGGCAGAACTATCTGATGAAAATCACACAAGAGCTTCCAAGCAAAAATCACCCAGCTGAGCCATGGCAACCCACAGAAAGGTGAAAGATAATAGTATTGTTTCGAGCCACTAAGTTTTGGGGTGATTTCTTATGCAACAACAGAAAACTGGAACAGCTGCTGAAAGCCTTTCACAGATAAGAGCTCTCTATTATCTTTTTACTTACAAATACCATTAGTGTTTTTACCAGGAGGTCTGATTATTAGCATATATGCAAGAGGATTTGACTGAGGCATCGCTTTTATTTCCCAGGTAAAGGGAAAAAATAGATCGCTGGCCTGCTGTTAACATTTTCCTTTCCAAAGTTTTCTTATTAATTGGAGGTTTATTCTGAGGAAGGCACGAGTAAGTTATTTTGGTGAACAAAGTCCCTGTAGATAGCAAAGTTCAATAGCCCTTTCTTAGATCTTAACATTTTATCTTTACCTTATTCTGTGCGTACTGTTCCAGGGGTTATATGCACTTGACTTTGTAGCTCAGAAAATTGACCCTGTGGTTGAATATAGAAACATTTGTGTCTAGACACATCTTCAGTTACTTGGCAACTACCCATTGAATACTCAGAGAAATGTAGGGAGGATGCATGTAAATTAAGCTCTTACAATGTAATTGTTCTTTCAGCATACTGAGGAAAAAACTCCTCAAAGCTGCCTGCCTTAAGTCATGACAAGGCACAGTAAAGACTATGGGACAAGGCTTCTTGGCCTGATGACCCACCAGACAGCAAGAACATTCCCAAGACACTTCCCTTAACAGAGCAGGGCACGGTAAGACACAGTGGGAGTCACAAAACCCAATGCACATCTGCAGATTGCAACCTCCCCCTGCCCTGATTACAATCAGAGGTGGATTGAGACAGCCTAAGAAGACCAATACCACTATGCATGCAACATTTGTTCGACTCTTACTTGGTAGAGAGGTTGAGCGTTGTGGCAGGGAAAGATGGAGGAGAACTGCAGGCGACTCGGGAACAAAAGCCCTAAAGGTCACCAGATTCACCTCCTCTCCCAAAGCCCTGTGCGACTCCCCCAGACTCTAGGTAGTGAATCTAAGAATTCCTTCCACCCACATTCCCTTTGCTTGAGAGAGGTCAGAATAAATAAAACTTTCTTCATCTTTACATCCATGGTTATATTTTAACATTACTTATAGATTGACATGCC